CCGGGTCTTAGGATCCCCACCCTTGCACTAAAACATTATCCTGAGTACTCAATACAGACTTACAAGGTACATTCTGGACAATGTGCATACTGCCTATTTGTAAGCATTTTTAAAGTGAGACACATAATATGCATTTTAATAAACTAAATAGTTGTGTTTTCCAATTCTAAACTGGGATGGGTGGATGATAAAAGCTTATTTTGGATTATGATTGTGATTGGTCCTAACAATGAGTTTAAGTCAGAACAGCAGTGCTAGTGTGTATTTGCAGAAATGAGGAGTCCTGTGACACATTAAAGAATAACAGATTTATATGGGCATAAAGTTCTATGGATAAAAAACATGATTTTTTTTTTTTGAGATACATGGAGTGGAAATCAGAAGTAGGAATGTAATAGCATATCAAAAAAAGGGAGTTACTTATGAAAGTGCAGGTCCAGTGTTAACGAGGTCAATTCAGTCAGGGGGATGTGAGTCACTGCCAGCACTTGATGGGGAAGTATGAATACCAAGAGAAAAAATTGACTTTGTAACCATTCTAAGTCCCCATTCAGTCCTAATTTTTATTAAATTTGCAAATGAATTATGGTGCCTGGTCCTTCAATGAGGGCAGGGAATTATACTCAATGACCTCTGGAGGTCCCTTCCAGTTCTAGTGTTCTATGATTCTCTGCTGTTTCTCTTTGTAGTCTGATTTTGAAGTTTTTCTGCAAAAAGGATGGCTACTTTAAAATGTGCGCCACCCATGCTGACTGAACTGACCTAGTTAAATTCATTACTGAGTGTCCAGGGAGGTTAAAAGTGTTCTACTTTTGTGTATGTTACAATTCTTGATATCTGATTTGGCCAATAAACATGGCAGAGAAGCATTGCTGGCATTTGATTGCATATTGCATCTGATTTGGCATTTGATCATGTTAGTAGATGTGCAGGTGGATGAGCCCCGATGGTGTGGTTAATGTGGTTAAGTCCTGTGATAGTGTTTCTTGTTTAGATATTGAACAGAAATGGCAGCAAGGGTTTGTTGCACAAATAGGTTCCTGGGTTAGTGTTTCTGTGGTGTGATGTGTGGCTGATGGTACTTGTTTCAGGGTGGGGGGGCTGTCTGTAGGCAAGGACTGGCCCTGCTTCCTAATGTCTTTGGGAGTGAGGGATCATTTCCCAGGATAGGGTTAGATTATCAAAGATGCCCTGTCTTTGGGAGTGAGGGATCATTTTCCAGGATAGGGTTAGATTATCAAAGATGCCCAAAAGGGGTTTTAGCTGAGACTGTAGGTGACAGACAGTGGTGTTCTGTTATTTTCCTTGTTGGACCCGTCCTGTAGTAGATGAATTATGGGTCCTCTTCTGGTACTGTCCATCTGTTTCTTCACTTCCCCAAGTGCGTATTTCAGTTTTAATAATGCTTGAGAAAGATCTTAGAGGCATGCATCTCTTTCTGAGGGATTGGAGCAGATGTGGTTGCATCTTAAGGCTTGGCTGTAGGCAATGGATAATGTGATGTTTGCTGGATGAAAGCTAAAGGCATCTAAGAAAGAATACTCATCAGTAGGTTTCTGGTATAGGGTGGTGTTTGTGTGACCATCATTTATTTGTACTGTAGTGTCCAAGAAGTGGATCTCTTGTGTGGACTTGTCCAGGCTGAGATTGATGGTGGGGTGGAAATTGTTGAAATCCCTGCGGAATTCTTCAAGGGCCCCTTAGCAGGTTCAGTCTTCTAGCAATCATTTGATACATTTTTCAAGCCCTAAATTACAGTGAACTTATCTACAGGATGACAGCAAAGAGCACTAGAAGGGTGTGATTTGTAAGGTACTCAGACTATCACCCTGCTGGTGGTTTTAAAAGTAAGTGAGAAACAACTTTACACTAACAGCATGTGTGAAACAAGACTGTTAATACAAACTAGGTACCTTTTAGGACATGCCAGCTGAGTCTACACAAGACAATCAGAACAGCACATGTTGCTGCACTTTACAAATCATACCCAACCCCAGTATGTTGCAGTGAGAATTTATACTTTGAGCTCCTTGATTTTCTATTTCAAGATTTAACTTTAAAACCAGGAAGTCAAAATACAAAAGGAGAAGGAAAGTGGTACAGACTGCTTTAAGTTGCATGCACAATTTAATGCAAAAGTTGAACTGGAATTAAGTACTTCTAGAAAATCCCAGGCCACTGTTTGAACTCCAGTTTCACTTGCGTAAAATGTCTTAGGAGACCAAATATGCAGGAATAGTAGCTTTTAACTTCAGTGCATAACTGCATAAGCCACAAACGTACATGTGTCACTAACTATCCTCTGGACTTCCTGCCTCCTCACCTAAAGCTTACAACTAGCTGCTGTAATGGCCCTGTTCTGGCAGTAGTATCGGGAAGGGAAAGAAAGAAAACGGAGGGGAAAGAAAGCCAATGGATGAACAAGATGATTCAGGTAGGGGAAGGGAAAGAAAGAAAAAGAAGGGGAAAGAAAGCCAATGGATGAACAAGATGATTCAGGTAATTATAGGCCCCATCTTACCTGGGATGGACTTTTTTTAAAATAGTTAATTACTAGTAAGGGACTAAGCAATACTTACCTGGGATGGACTTAATAGTTAATTACTAGTAAGGGACTAAGCAATAAAAATATATTTCCTTACTTTAATGCCAGTCCACATGCTTTTATGGAAAATATATATAGTCAAATCAACATGACAAGTTTATGGAGTCTGATGGAGAAAAGCAGACAGCTGTGTTGACATATTTAGATTTCTGGAATGCATTTGAATTGATATTACTAAAAATTAGCATTATATAAAAATCAACATAGTATACATTAAACAGATTAAAAATAGTTCCAAAGATCTCAAGGAAATGAACAGGAGTCTGCACATTGTTACTTCTCATATAGTTTCATGGATACCAATTCTCTGCCTATTGCTATTCAATATTTGTATGAATCTGGGAAACAATCATTATTTTGAGTTAAACTTTGCAAAAAACAGATTGGTGTGAGAGTAAATAATGAGACATGCCACATACAGTATCATCTGGATTGCTTGATAAGAGAGGATGCAAATAAGTGAAGTTCATTTTAGTACAGTATGGAATAAGAGATCACAATTACATGCAAAGTTGGATCCATCTTAAGTTGTCTTAAGTGAAACAGTTTTGGTCAGTGGTCCCCAACCTTTTGAGGTTGTCGGGCGCCAGGGGGCGTGGCCGTTCGCCCGCCGGGCACCAGGGGGCGGGGACACTTGCGGGCCCGGGGGCGGCCCCCCATAGCCGCATGCCCGGGGGCGGCCCCCCCCATAACCTCATGCCCGGG